AGGTTACGCCGCCATGTGCGAGTAGACTGTGCGAATCTGCGGGCAAGGATTTCTGCGAGACCAGCAGGCGTCGAAGCCACGTGGGAGGGGTCTTGCCAGGCAGTCGCAAGGGTGCATCCAGACATGTAACTCCCGTGTGATGTACGTGGCATGGCCCTCTATTGCCCGCATGCGTTGGCTCGAACGTCGCAGTAAGCCATTACGATTAAGGTACCGGGCCTCCCGCATTACTTGCGCGCACCGCTGCCGAACGCACTGCAGCGCCAGACGCGCCAGGCGTGCCGCAGTCCACTGGCGCCTCATTTTTCACGTATCGCTCATATCGCTCGTCCCATCGGACTTCATTTTTCATATTTCGCTCGTATCGCTCGTTAGAGAAAAGGTTTCATAAGATGAATTCATTCTCTTTCTCCCAGCGATGCGAGCGAATGCGTAACACATAGGGTCAAATGGGACGAGCGATATGTGAAAAATAAGAGGGGGGAACGACAAGGGCCACCCGGGGGGCCAGCGCTGGCTGCACAGAAGAATCCCCAGCCGCTGCGGCCCCACCAGCCCCGGCGCCCGAGCGACGAAGCCTACGTAGCCCCGACTGGCCCGAGGAGCGCCCGCGGCGCATCTCTCGCCGCAGCCGCCCCGCGCCACCGCCTAGTGGGCCAAGCAGGAGCACCCAGAGCGGGCCTAACTGGAGGCCTGCCCCGAGGCATGCTCACAGGCCACGGAAGAACTCAGCGAACGCCCGTGCCGAATGCACCTGTCAATGCGCGATGCCCCCCCAGTGATCAATGCTGGCAGCGGGTCGAATGGGCTGCGCTTCGACCGCGGTCTTCCCCGCGCGTGCCAGCCTTGAGCTTGGGGGGGGCGGGGGAGTGTCCACTGATTGTTTCCTTCTGCCGTCTCATGTCTGAGGTTATGCCGCCGTGCGCGAGTAGACTGTGCGAATCTGCGGGCAAGGATGCCTGCGAGACCGGCAGGCGTCGAAGCAGCGTGGGAGGGGTCTTGCCAGGCAGTCGCGAGGGGGCCACTAATTGTTTTCCTTCTACCGTACCTCGAGCCGCTGGCGCCCGTTTGGGACTCCCCGGGCAGCTTGGGAATGCTCTCGACAAGGCTCAGGCGTTGAAAAGCATCCCGAGGCCGGAAGGTCTCAGGGAACCGACGGAAACGCCCGGCAGATCAAATCGTCGGACCCAGACCCCCGACGTGTTCTTGCACAAGACGTGGACCCCTCAGCTCATTCCCCAAGACTGGCTTTTGATTCTGGGTCGTCTTGTTCACAGTCACAGGACCCGACGAGGGCCCCCAGAAGCTAAAAATATAAAAACAAAAACGTTTGTCGTGCTTTACTCACGACGCGAGGGGGTCTGGGCCCTTCGGGGAGGCGCAAGACTCGGGTTCGGGGGACTTCGGTTGGCCTGACGGGGCCGTCAGGAAAATCACGACACCCAGTCTAAATTCTGACGCGAACACCTGCTGAAAACGCCCCACGAAAAATTTGTCGTCCACACCCAGGATGGGCCCGTCCAAAAGCCTCGCCAGATCCGAACTACAGCGAACTCGGGCCTTACGTTTACCCGATCCCTCCAGCCCGCCTCCGCGTGGTTGTTTTTAGGTCGGGCATGTCCCCCTACAGGCGGTTCTTGGGCGAACAATAAAAATAGTCAACAACAATAAGCAACACAAATCCTTACAAATGCTGAAGGCATCGTTCCCATACTATATGTTCCCTCTTTTCGAAAATAAAATAGTCAACACAACTAAGCAATCAAACAATACAAATTCTTAAAGCATCGTCCCCATATTGTTTTTTTCCCCGACATTTTTGAACATTCCTCCTGTAGAGGGCCACGCCCGACTTACGTTACTTTTCACGACGCTTGGCGGTCGATCGTCCGCTCCTCCGCCCTCCTTCTTGCGTCCCGAAAAATGGTGCGGCGACGGACCGTGCGGTGACCTCGACATCCCCCAAAGACCTGACCGCACGGTCCGTCACCGCACGGTCTTTGGGACCCTCGGATGCCCCTGTCTCGGGCCGGGCGAAAGGGGGGATAGCAAAGGGGGGTTTGAGAATCAGCTCACGTAGCTGATTTTCCCAGCGCCTCCCAGCGCCGGAGGCGGCTATGTATCGAGGAATGGGCCCCTCGCTGTGGCCGAAACCAGCTGCACGCAGCAGATTTCGTAACCCCCCCTTTCCCAATCCCCCCTCTTTCGCCAGGCCCGACTGCCGCCCGAGACGTCCTCGGAGAGGGACCCGCGTTCCAAAGCCGCGCGGCGACCCCGAAATCCCCGCCGACTCACCGCGCGGTGTGGTCACCGCGCCCCGCCTGGGGGGCCTCCGGCGGAGCCTCCGTGAAGGGGGAACGCGGGGGGGGAGGGGCCCGCTCCCCGGGGGGGGAGGCGCCGCCGGCAAAGCGGCGACGGGCCCCCGCCCACAGATGTCCGCACGCTCCTGGGGCGGGGCGGGCCACCGGACCCCCGTCGGCGATGCTTGGGGGGTGCGCAGACAGGGATTGGCGATCCATGGATTGGGCGCGCGTCAAGAGGCACAGGGACACACAAATAAACACACACAGAGAAAAATATTCCCCCACATTTTCTCATATTTTCTGGGCTTTTGTCTTCCCGCCCAATTCCCATATTTTCCCATATTTTCTTGGGGATCGACGATTAATTGTGTCTGTGTGTTTTTTCCCCCCCTGAGTGCGGTCGCCAAATCCATGGATCGGAGGAGGGCCCCTCCCCCAGAATGCGGCCGGTGCCGCCCCGTTCGGCGGCGGAACGCCGCGATTTCCGATGGAAACGGGACCTGTCGCTAATCCACGCCCCCTTGATCCAGCCCCTTGCCGATATCTCCACGGTGGTTTCCGGGCCATTGCTCGGGCCTCTGGCAGCTCTTCGGGACGATGCCGGCACCCCAGGGACGCTCTCGACGAGGCGCAGCTGATGAAAACCACCCTGGGCCTCTGAAATTGTCGGATCACTCTCGACAGCTTTCCAGCAGCTCCTCGTTTACGTTGCCCCACGTAAGCAAGGAGCTGTTCGTTGAGCAGGGGCCGACCGTCCCGGCAGTCCGATAGTCCTACAACGAAATGTTCTTAGAACCCAACAGTATTCTAATAACAAAAATCAATATTCTTAGATCATGTTCTTAGAACATTGATCCTGGTGTGTTAGATCAAGACAGTCTCAACCCGACATGTTCTAATAACATTTCGTGCAAACCACAAAAGGTTATTAGAACATTATTTTGTAGGCCTATAGGTGAGCCAGGACGCTTCGCCACTGCTTGAGTTCGCAAGCTGTCGGAAGTGATCCGAAAGTTTTCGAAAGTGCTGTCCCAATCTTTCCTCTTCGCATGCTGGGCAATTCGCTCTTCGGTAGCCCCGTTTGGCGCGATCGCTCGCGCAGGAACCTCTGCCTCGCCGCCGACGAAACAAGTCTCGGAGATCCGATGTCGTGATTTCTTCAAGTCGGTACGGGGTCCCCAGAAGTCTCGACCCGTTTCCCAGGACCTGTTTTTTTCATCCTGAATCGTTTTCCACGGGCCCGGGGCCCTGCGAGGGTCCCTTGTGGCCTAAACATAAAAAAAACTCCGTCTCGAGTTTCTCCATGCATTGGATCTCTGGGGTTGCCCCTCGATAGCTCTCGAGAGCTCCTCCTCCCTCCATCGGGGGCGGCCAAGAGGGGGGCGTCCAAGAGTGGGGGGTGCAAATCATGGCTGGCGGCATGTGCGCGGCCCAGGGGGGGGGGGGCGAGGACGTACATAGTGAAATAAGAAGAGTCGCCATGAAATCTGGGAACATACCATGGCCAACGCCATGATATCCCCCCCCCTAATCACCACCCCCCTCTTGGCCGCCCCCGACGCCAGCCTGCCCCGTGGCTGCCTGGTCTGCGCAGTCGCCCCGGCAGTCCGGGCACGTGTCCCCGAAGCCCAGCAGCCCGCCCCCGGGCACGCCGGTCCTCGCGGAGCTCGCCAGGGCAGCGGCGGGCGCAGAGCTCCGACGATCGCAGGGATGCCGCGGGTGCACCTTTTACACCCAGAGGTCCAGCGCATTGAAAAACTCGAGACGGAGGTTGTTCGCAACTTTCGGCCTCCAGGGGCCCTCGCCGGGTCGCGGGACCGTCAAGAAACGACTCAGGATGAAAAACCGGTCCTGGGGAAGGGGTCGAGACTTCTGGGGACACCGTAGGTAGGAATACCGCGGGTGTACTTTCTAACATGAAGATACCTCTACGCGTGAAGCGGTCCCTCGACGGGCGTCGGCTCATGGAAAATCCCCGACACCGCCCCACGATGTGATCAGTCGGATGTTGTCGCGCGACGATGAGGAGAATGAGGAGGAGAAGGAAGAGGAGAAAGAGGAGGCGGCGGCGGAGGCGCTCCACCAAGAGTCCAATGAGAGTCGGACGAGGGAGCGCTGATGGAAAACCACCAAGTCAAGATGCTCGGCACCACATTCCACGAGGGGCACAAGCAGCAGCTCTCCGCATGCACAAGGACTGCGGGTGCACAGCCCGTTCCGATGAGCTTCCTCACCAGCTGGCAAGAAGGCGAGGCACAAAGGTGCACCTGTATGATGGCGCCCAGGAACATACACATCAATACACACAAAGCCAAGGACCTCTGGGCGACAAGCGGTTTAACGATGTCTTTCTTTCCTCTTCCACAACCCCTTCTGCCCCTTCGGGGAAGGGTTCATCACTGTTCCTTATTCATATACACCCCCTCCCCCACCCGGCCAGCGTCCAACCAGGAACCATGCCGACTCCATGACTGCCCGCCCCCCACCATCCCTGTCACAAAAACAATACAAAACGCCCTCTGCCTCCACATGCGCCCCCCCCCCCCCCACACACACACCAGTCCTTTCAAAAAACAATGCAAAGTACACTTTGGGGCAAAGTCTTGAGTCATGTTCGTGACACTTTGTATCGTTTTTGACAAGGACGGCGGGGGGGCCAGCATTTTCCCTGCCGCGCGCAGGGCTACCATCCCGGACAACAAAAAGATAAAGCATGCACCTCGCGGCCAAGTCTGGATCATGCGCGGCCATCCCGCGATCACTGTCAAATTGTTTTTGACAGGGACAGCGGGTGGGGCGGCGCGTGGCCAGCTGTGCGCAGGCCCACCCGACACAACGATGGGCATTGGTTTTCGACCAGGACGGCGGGGGCCGACGTGGTTCCCGATGTGTGCTGTCACGTGCGCAGGCGCACTTGACGCACTCTGCACGTGCCCCGAAGATGGCGCACCTGGCACGGCTGGAGTATGCGGCACACCTTGGGGAAACCAAACGGTACCGATACCGCTACTCCCAGGACCTCTCCCGGGGTGCGTTCTGACCAGGATCTCGAGGCGAATCCAGCGGTGGCGACGAGGGCCTCCCAGGAGGCCCCAAGAGGGGAAAACGGGGGGAGGGTAGAGGTATGGATACCTTTTTCTCCTCTGACACCTGGCGCATCTGGCGCACCAGGCGTGCCTGGCACGCTCGAGCCCCAGGGGGTGCCTGGCGCGCGTGGCGGCCCCTGGAAGGCGTGGGCGGCCGCCAGCACGGGCGCGGGCGCGCTTGCGCTGCTCGCAGTGGAGGGAGTTGCCGATGAGCGACCTCCTCAGAGCCTCGCACTCGTCGGGCTCGGCCTTCCCAGCACCGCCAGCCGCGCGAGGCACCGCGCGCCCCTCGGCGGAGCCCACAAGCTGCTCCCCCACGGAGGGCGGCGGCGGCTCGGCACGCCCATCCGGCCAGTGGGGGGGGCCACTTGTCACAATTATCCTGGCGAAGGGCCCAACCATACGCAATTCCGAATGCCGCCGTTGTAAGTATCGTCGTTGGTGGAACACCCGATGGGGCCACGAAGCGTGTGAGAGGTGCGCCAAATGGAGGTGGAACTGCATGCGGACCCTGCCACTGGGGCCTTCGGTGGAGCACCCTGTGGGGCCGCGAAACGTGTGAGGGGTGCGCCGAAATGGAGGTGGAACTGCATGCGGACCCTGCCATTGGCGCCCTCGGTGGAGCTCCCTATGGGGCCGCGAAACGTGTGAGGGGTGCGCCGAAATGGAGGTGGAACTGCATGCGGACCCTGCCACTTGGGCCTTAGGCGGAGCTCTCTATGGGGCCACGAAACGTGTGAGGGGTGTGCCGAAATGGAGGTGGAACTGCATGCGGACCGTGCCACTTGGGCCTTAGGCGGGGCTCCCTATGACGCCACGAAACGTGTGAGGGGTGCGCCGAAATGGAAGTGGAACTGCATGCGGACCCTGCCACTTAGGCCTTAGGCGGAGCTCCCTATGGGGCCACGAAACGTGTGAGGGGTGCGCCGAAATGGAGGTGGAACTGCATGCGGACCCTGCCACTGGGGCCTCAGGTGGAGCTCCCTATGGGGCCACGAAGCGTGTGAGGGGTGCGCCGAAATGGAGGTGGAACCGCATGCGGACCCTGACACTTGGGCCTTCGGTGGAGCTCCCTATGGGGCCACGAAACGTGTGAGGGGTGCGCCGAAATGGAGGTGGAACCGCATGCGGACCCTGACACTTGGGCCTTCGGTGGAGCTCCCTATGGGGCCACGAAACGTGTGAGGGGTGCGCCGGTGGAAACCCTGGAGGTGGAACCGAACGTGCGCGGCACCCTGACACTGGGGCCTTCGGTGGAGCTCCCTATGGGGCCACGAAACGTGTGAGGGGTGCGCCGAAATGGAGGTGGAACCGCATGCGGACCCTGACACTTGGGCCTTCGGTGGAGCTCCCTATGGGGCCACGAAACGTGTGAGGGGTGCGCCGAAATGGAGGTGGAACCGCATGCGGACCCTGACACTTGGGCCTTCGGTGGAGCTCCCTATGGGGCCACGAAACGTGTGAGGGGTGCGCCGAAATGGAGGTGGAACCGCATGCGGACCCTGACACTTGGGCCTTCGGTGGAGCTCCCTATGGGGCCACGAAACGTGTGAGGGGTGCGCCGAAATGGAGGTGGAACCGCATGCGGACCCTGACACTGGGCCTTCGGTGGAGCTCCCTATGGGGCCACGGAACGTGTGAGGGGTGCGCCGAAATGGAGGTGGAACCGCATGCGGACCTTGCCACTGGGGCCTTCGGTGGAGCTCACTATGGGTCCACGAAACGTGTGGCCATGATGGAGACGGCGATGATGATGACGACGATGGTGATAAGAACGATGATGATGATGATGCTGATGATGACGGTGACGATGACGATGATGATGATGCTGATGATGAGAGGGAGGAGGGAGGAGGGGGAAGAGGAGGAGAGGAGAGGACGCGGGCACCGTCTCTTCAAAACGAGGACCCAACACCACAGGATGGTTGGGAAATTATCCTGGCGAAGGGCCCAACCATACGCAATTCCGAATGCCGCCGTTGTAAGTATCGTCGTTGGTGGAACACCCGATGGGGCCACGAAGCGTGTGAGAGGTGCGCCAAATGGAGGTGGAACTGCATGCGGACCCTGCCACTGGGGCCTTCGGTGGAGCACCCTGTGGGGCCGCGAAACGTGTGAGGGGTGCGCCGAAATGGAGGTGGAACTGCATGCGGACCCTGCCATTGGCGCCCTCGGTGGAGCTCCCTATGGGGCCGCGAAACGTGTGAGGGGTGCGCCGAAATGGAGGTGGAACTGCATGCGGACCCTGCCACTTGGGCCTTAGGCGGAGCTCTCTATGGGGCCACGAAACGTGTGAGGGGTGTGCCGAAATGGAGGTGGAACTGCATGCGGACCGTGCCATTGGGCCTTAGGCGGGGCTCCCTATGACGCCACGAAACGTGTGAGGGGTGCACCGAAATGGAAGTGGAACTGCATGCGGACCCTGCCACTTAGGCCTTAGGCGGAGCTCCCTATGGGGCCACGAAACGTGTGAGGGGTGCGCCGAAATGGAGGTGGAACAGCATGCGGACCCTGCCACTGGGGCCTCAGGTGGAGCTCCCTATGGGGCCACGAAACGTGTGAGGGGTGCGCCGAAATGGAGGTGGAACCGCATGCGGACCCTGACACTGGGGCCTTCGGTGGAGCTCCCTATGGGGCCACGAAACGTGTGAGGGGTGCGCCGAAATGGAGGTGGAACCGCATGCGGACCCTGACACTTGGGCCTTCGGTGGAGCTCCCTATGGGGCCACGAAACGTGTGTGAGGGGGTGCGCCGAAATGGAGGTGGAACCGCATGCGGACCCTGACACTGGGCCTCGGTGGAGCTCCCTATGGGGCCACGAAAACGTGTGAGGGTGCGCCGAAATGGAGGTGGAACCGCATGCGGACCCTGACACTGACCTTATGGGGCGAAACGTGTGAGGGGTCGGCATGCGACCCTATGGGCTATGGGGCACGAAACGTGTGAGGGGTGCGCCGAAATGGAGGTGGAACCGCATGCGGGCCTGCCACTGGGGCCTTCGGTGGAGCTCCCTATGGGGCCACGAACGTGTGAGGGGTGTGCCCGAATGGGGGGTGGAACCGCATGCGGGCCTGCCACTTGGGCCTTCGGTGGAGCTCCCTATGGGGCCACGAAACGTGTGAGGGGTGCGCCGAAATGGAGGTGGAACCGCATGCGGACCTTGCCACTGGGGCCTTCGGTGGAGCTCACTATGGGTCCACGAAACGTGTGGCCATGATGGAGACGGCGATGATGATGACGACGATGGTGATAAGAACGATGATGATGATGCTGATGATGACGGTGACGATGACGATGATGATGATGCTGATGATGAGAGGGAGGAGGGAGGAGGGGGAAGAGGAGGAGAGGAGAGGACGCGGGCACCGTCTCTTCAAAACGAGGACCCAACACCACAGGATGGTTGGGAAAAACTGACAGAACTGAACCCGCGTCTCTTCAAAACGAGGACCCAACACCACAGGATGGTTGGGAAAAAACTGACAGAACTGAACCCGCGTAGCCGCCGGCGCCCGCCCAGTGCGCCAGCTCGACCTCGCTGCACTCCTTGGCGCCATCGCCCAGGCGTCGCGCATCCGGGGTCGGCTTTGGTTCCCAGTAGCTGTCCATCCCAAGACGGCAGCTGGACATGCTCAGGCTCGGGTGTCACTTACGTGTAGGGAGAGCGGATGGGAGTGAGCTGGACGGCTTGCAGGCGGGTGGGTAGCTTGACCCCTCCCCCCACCCCCTCCCCTGGACCTGGTCGGGGGGGGCCGCGAGTCGTAAGGGCGTCCAAAATGGTCCAAGATGGCTCCAAGAGGGCCTCAGAGAGCCCAAGATGGCCTTCAAGATCGCTCAAGATATCTCAATATGACTCAAGATAGCTAACAACATGCTTCCAAGAGGCTCCGAGAGGGCCACAAGACGGTTCCAGTTGCTTGTGGCGACCCCTCAGGACCTCCCCGAGAAGCCCAAATCCTTCAAGCACCTATGGACAAACAATGATTTGTGCCTTCGCCCCAAGAGGCCCCGAGAGCGCCCCAAGAAGCTAGCTGGATGGCCCCGGAGGGGGGACTCAACGTCAGGACCCACCCTCTTTTCACCGACACCCTCCACGATAGCTCCAAGAGGCCCTCCAGGGCTCCCAAGAGGCCCCCAAGAGAGCCCCAAGAGAGCTCCGAGAGGGCGAGAGGGCCCTATGAGGGCCCCAAGGCGCCCCAAAAGAGCCCAAAGAGGACCCCATAACCCCTCAAAGAGCCCCAAAGGCCCCAAGATGCTCCGAAAGAGCTCCAAGAGGACCCCAATATCCCCCAATACAGCCCCGTATCTCCAAGAAGGCCTCTGATGCTCCAAGATAGCCTCCAAGATGGCTCAACATCCTCCTTCCTCTTCTCTCCTTGCACGCTCTGTTTCACCATATGCGTCTCTGCTTTCCATTTCCCCTCAGCTCTCGTGGGCAGGGCTTCTGAATGGGCTGGCGGGGATCCGCGAAGCGTAAGCAATTTTCTGGATTGTCGCCCCCCCCACTTCCCATATTTTCCCATAATTCCCCAGAATTGACAATTCCCCCCCCTTTCTTCCTATATTTTCAAATCTTTCCGGGGGAATCGACGATTCTTTGTGTCTATGTGTTTCTCCCCTCCTGACTGTATCCACGTGTGGCCCGTCAGCAAGCAGAAGCGGCCCAGGAGAATGCAACGGGGGGAGCGGGCGCCATATTGAACCAACGCCGCAGCAATGCGCGTGTGCCTGGCATCCGCAAGCGGACACCAGGCCCCACACACCCCAACATGCCCCCAGCAGGGGACAGCCCCCCGCCGGGTGGAACAACGCTCGTGGCGCAAGCTGGAGGGCTCCTGGACTCGTCGGGACAGTGCAGCGTTTCGTTGGTTCTCCTCTCCACCCCGCCGCCGCCGCCTCCTCGCCAACCCTCTGCGTCCTCCCCAGCACGCCACCGCCTCCGCGCCCTTTTCTTCTCCTCCAAGTGCAGGGTGGGAGACACATAGAACCCATCGGAACATGGGCGCTCCTCGAGGGTCCTTGGCCTTCCCAGAGTTCGAAATACGCAAAACCCGTCGAACCTTGGAAGATTATCCTTTTTCGAAGTCCTGCGGTCGTGAACTTTTGCCTAGCGTGCCGTGGAGGCGGCCCCAGCGGTACGCCGTGTCGTGCGAGCGGGTAGCGTGTCGGTCCGTTCCGCAGGGCCGGAGGCTGGGAAAAACTCTGGACGCTGACGCTTGGGATCTGGTTGGCGGTGCGCAGAGGGGGGTGGGGGGAGGGAGGAGGGCTTCTTAGAAGCAGGGGTGCTTCTAAGAAGCCTTCCCCCCTCCCCCACCCCCCTCTGCACGTGGCTGATCTGGGGCGTGGACAGCGTGGCGCGCCAAAGCGTGGTGGGCCAGAACCGGCGGAACGACACGCACACCAAAAGTTCCCCACCGCATGGGCTTCCGCATAGCTTGCACCACATGGCTCGCGGCCTACAGCATCCACCACATGCCTTGCACCACGTAGACTGCACCACCCACGGCTTGCACCACACAGCTGGCACCGCCTGCCTCCCACCACACGGCTTGCACCACGTAGAGATTGCACCACACGGCTCGCAACACCCAAGCAGCATGCCAGAACACGCTGCTCGGGCTCCACGCTGGCTGACACACTTTGAACAAGGACCGACCGTCCCGGCATTCCTATAGGCCTACCACGAAATGTTCTTAGAACCCAAAAAGTTCGAAAAACAAAAACAATGTTCTTAGAACACAAGCCCGACGTGTTACAACAGTCACATGTTCGAAGAACGTGTGGTAGAAACCACAAGAGGCTCCCAGAACACTGTTCTTGGTGGGCCTATAGGCACGCCGGGACGCTTCGCCACTGCTGGAACACTTGCACTTCGACGCTCCTCGCCGGCTCTCCTCGCCGCGACCGCCTCCGCCGCGCCTCGGCCCCAGGGCGGCGCGCGGCTCCTGAGGCGCGGCACGGCGCGGGCGTCGGGCCACAGCTCGCGGTAGGCGCGCTCCTGGCGGGCGGGGCCGACGCCGTCGGGCGGCGGCGGGCGGCGTCGGCTGCCGGCGACAGCAGAAATGGGGGCGCGCAGGGGAAGGGAGCCTGGGCCCGCTGACTCCACCTTCCTCCTCCCTCAGGCCTCCTCCTCCTCCTGCTTCTCCCGCTCCTCCTAGTCCCTCCCCCCCTCTCATACCTCTCCTCCCCCTCCTCCCTCAGGCCTCCCTCCTCCCTCCTCCTCCCTCCTGCTCCTCCTGCTCCTCCGCCACCTCCTCCTGCTGGCGGCGGCATCATAGAGTGGGTGCGAAGGATCCGGCCCAACAGTGACTCATGTATTCATATGTACATACTCATGTATACACAAGTGGCACGTGCGTGCCCAGGCTCATACAAACACATGTGCAGGATGTGTGTGTATGTGGTGTGTGCGTGAGTATGGTGTGTGTTATGTGGTATGTGTGTGTTGTGTGTTGTGCGCGTGTGGTATGTGTGTTGCGTGCGCTATATGTGAATGAATCATATGTGGGTCATGTGTGTTCTGCGTGTATGTGTGTTTGGTGTAGTGTGTGTCTGTATTGTGTGTGCGTTGTGTGTGTGTTGCTTGTATTGGTTTCGTTGTGTGTGATGTGTATGCGTGAGCGTGTGAGCGTGTGAGTGTGTGAGTGTGTATGCGTGTGTGCGTGCGTGCGTGCGTGCGTGTGCGTGCGTGCGTGCGAGTGTGTGTGTGTGTGTGTGTGTTTGCTTGTGTGTGTGTGTGCGTGTGCGTGCGTGCGTTCGTGCGTGTATGTTCTCTGTGTTATGTGTGTGTGTGTGTTGTAGGTGTTGTGTGAGTGGTCTGTGTGTTGCATGTGTGGTACGTTCTGTGTTTGGTGCGTGTGCGCGTGAATGTGTGGGTGATCTGCGTGTATTTTGCATATATACATACAATTATAGATGTTGTACGTCGGGGCTCGATGTTGGGAGGATGACTCAGGCGAACAATCCGTTGTTTGGAGGATCTCTTAGGCGAAACTGCGATGTCCGAATAGTCGGGCTCAAACACATTGCTTGATATGGGTTTTAAGGCTTGGTGCTTTAATCATTGAAGGAGGGTGTGTGTTTGGACCCTGGCGTCGCGATCTACGTGAGGGGTGCTACCGATTTTCTCAGAAGTCAAAACATTTCCCGAGCGAACCTGCCAAACAAATCTCGAACGGGACGGAACGTTGAAGTAATCGCCTCCGAGCTCTACTCCATCGGAGAAGTGCGCATGAGAATACCCTGTAACGCCCCTCGCTGGGGGTAGAAACCAACTGGATGCAAGTTACTCTGTGGAGCGTCGTGTTGTCCCCTCCTCCTCTCGTGTCCTTTCGTCGAAGGCCCACCCCTGAGGCTCTCGGAATTTCCAGAAGGCTCTCGGATGGTCCAAGAGGTGCCAGGCCGATGACTTGGTTACTTGAGGTTCGATCTTCAAATCCCGTCCCCAGAACTCCGACGTGGTATCTGCTTCACAGTGTCGGCGCTCGCACGGCGAAGACTTCTTCAACCCCGGGCGCTAGACCATATGACCTCCTGGGCCTCCTGAAGCTTCTGGGTGTCTCCTGAGGCCTCCTGGGGCCTCCTGAAGCCTCCCGTTGCCTCCTGGGGGGTCCTAGAGCTTCCTGGGACCTTCTGGGGCCTGCTGGGCTCTGCCAGGGCCTCCTGGGATGTACTGGGGCCTGCTGGGACCTCGTGGCGCCTCTTGGGGCCTCCTGGAGCCTTGTGGAGCTTCCCGAAGGAACCCGAGAATTCCTGGGCTTACGGAGGCCTCCTAAGACCGCCTGGGGCCTCGCAGGCCCTCGAGCACCACACTAGAGTCCCCTCCACGGAGCGGTCCTTCACGTTGCTGTGTGATTTCGCTTCCCTCCTTCTCCTCCTCCTCCTCCTCCTCCTCCTCCTCCTCCTCTGCCTCCGCCTCCTCCTCCTCCTCCTCCTCCTCTTCCTCCTGACCGTCGTGGTGGGCACTCTAAGAAGCCCCGCGCGGGGCCCTAGAACTGACGACAGTGATAAGGATGTGAGCCTTCCCGCTGAGAACGGCGGTGCAGGCATCACACCTCACGACCCGAACCACCCTGGAGCTCCCGCGGCGCGAAGCCCGTTCCCCTGTGTGACTGTGCGATTTACCCTCTCCCCGCCGTCCCGCCGGACCCTGGGAGGGTGATTTTCCATCGTCGCTGGTGACGGAGGGCAGGCGGCGGGGGTGGGCAGCTTGGCTGGGTGACGGGGTTGTTGGTTGGGCTGGTTGGCTGACGGGTTGGCTGGGTGGCTGGTTGGGCTGGTTGGACTGGTTGGCTGGTTGGGGTGGTTTGGTTGGCAGGTTGTTGGCTGGTTGGGTTGGCTCGGTTGGCAGGTCGAGCTGGCTGGGGCAGTCGGTTTCGGCTATACGTGCCCAAAAAGCTCTCGGGGGGGGCGAGGGTCCTGGTCCTGCATTCCTATTGCTTTGAATACTAGACGCGGCCCTGAGCAGTGGAATCTGAATGGGGCGGGGATGTTGTGGTACACAACAACATCCTGCGGAGAAGCAGGGGGAAGGGACCCACACCCTCCACCATCCAGATCCTCCTCCTCCTACTCCTCCTGCTCCTCCCTGCTCCCTCCCTCCCCTTCCTCCCTCTCCTCCGTCTCCTCCCCCTCCTCCATCCCCCCTCTCCTGAACTTCGCCCTCCCCCCCCCCCCCGCACGCCCTGCCGATGCTGCTACTGCACGCGACACCGCCGCTGCCCTCGTCTCTGCCGCCGCTGCCAGACGACGGCGACAACGCGACGGCGGCGGCCGCGGCGACGAAGCCTGCGGCGGCGGCCACGATGGCCGCGACAGCGGCCGCGGCGGCGGCCACGGCGTCCAAAACAGCGGCGGCGGGTCCCACGGCGACGACACCTGCGGCGGCGGCCACGATGGCGGTTGCGGCGGCGGTGGCGGCGACGCGTTCGGCGGCCCCCGCGGAGGCGGCGACGGCACGTCTTGCGGCCGCGGCGGTGGCGGCGACGACGCGCCCGGCGGTCGCGGCGGGGAAGCGCCCGAGGGCGCGCGCCTTGGCGCCCGCGGCCTCCAGGAGCTGTTCCAGCTCCCCGCGCTTGCAGAGGAAGCCGGCCTTGGGGCGGCAGACCAGGCCTTAGCGGGCGCCCGGGCTGGGGGAGGAGGGGGAGCAGGAGCCTCCCACGCCATCCCGCTGGCCCTTGCGAGTCGAAGCTAACCGACGTTAGTGGAACGCGAAGGCGACGCTAACTCGGCGTTGTCTTAGCCGACGGGGCAATGATGCCAGGGTCGCCTTAGACAATTGTTCCTCCTTCTTATGCGGGTTGACTGTGGTGCACTCAAATAAACAATTGCGAGGATACGCGAGGCCCCCATGATTTCCAACCCACGGCGCGGAACGGAGGCCGGCCTTCCCCTTCCTGAGCATGGTCGCGGTATCGGTCTCCTCGCCATCGCTCGGACGTCAACTGCCCCTGCATGTTACGAAATCGTGCGTACATTTTCGCACAATGATCAAAGAAGATGCTCCTCGATGGTCTTCGCCGAGCGAACATGTAAACGTCCAAACGATACCAAGTCCATTGTCGTCTTGGAGATATGGACCCCATGCCCTTCGCGGTGCTTGCGCTGGGTCTAGGCGACGTCGGGATCCTTCTGTTTCTCTTGCGACGAGAGGGAGACCTCAGTCCGCGCGCCTTGACGCTGAGGGTCAGAGGGGACCCGACAACACAGCATGTCGAAGAAAAAGAAGAACCAATACTTGAGCGGACAAGGCCCGGAAAGCGCCGCTGTCAAGGGCTCTCGGGGTTGTCTTGGGTCCTGTGGGGTTATCTTGCAAGCCTGTTTGGCGCCTGTCGAACAGTTCTTGGGGCTTCTCTGAACCTTGTTGGACTGTCCACTCGAGGTTCTGGTGAGAGAGCATCGATAAGAGAGGGATGATCGGAGAAGGGGAGAAGAGCAGAGATAACACGGTTGCTTCCGACGTTCGCGTTCATGGCCCGGCGGCCCCCGTGTCTGGAGTTTGCCGACACACACATGTATAGTTGTTAATCAGCGTGGACCCCAAACAGTGTGTTCTAGCACGCTATGCGGTGCAATCGATGTGGTGCAATGTATGTGGCGTAAACTATGTGGTGCAAGAGACGCGGTGCAACCTATGTGGTGCAAGCTATGTGATGCGCTTTCTACGTGGTGCACTCTATGCAACGCAAGATGTTTGATTCCACACTGACCACACACTCCGCCTTAACGAGAGAGGGCACACGGTTCGCAGGCTCCCGCGGGAGCCCACAAAGTCAGCCCCATACTGGGCCAGTGCGAGCAGCGGCAAACGACCACCACTCCTTCGAGTGCCAGACAACGCGCAGCGACCATATTATCACCTGGATATCAATGCACGAGCCAGGCCTGCGCCCCGCTCACCGCCCCGCCGCCCTCCCAGCCCTCGTTGCACGTCCACATCTCAGTCGAGCGGCTGACGCGTCGCGGGGTGGGGGCCTGCCAGGATGTTGGCCGCCCTGTGCTTGCGTTTCCTGTCGATGGCCGTCGGCTTCTCTGGCCATCCTGGACAAGCTCGCCCGAGGCCATCTGCCTTCCTCCTGCCGTAGGCGCCGCAGGTCACACGCACGCACGCACGCACACACAAACACAGACACACAGACACACAGACACACAGACACACGGACACACAGACACACAGACACACAGACACACAGACCCACATACCCACAGACCCACAGACCCACAGACCCACAGACCCACAGACCCACAGACCCACAGACCCACAGACCCACAGACCCACAGACCCACAGACCCACAGACCCACAGACCCACAGACACACAGACACACAGACACACAGACACACAGACACAATCCGTAGCCATTTTGGCTCAAGCCGTGCCTGGGCGCGCTCGGGCAAGATGGCGCGGGAGAGTCTGCGCGGGGTGGCTGGTGCCCGCTTCGCTGCAGACCGCCTGGTGCAGCGGCTGGCGCGCGAGCTGGCTGAGGCCCGGGGCGAGGCCGCAAGGCTCCGCGAGCTGCTCGAGGCGAAGGTCGACAGTGAGGGGGACCCCGAGGTGCTGCGGCGTGAGGCGATCGCGAGGCCTGTCCTGGCGGCCCGCGTCGCCGGCAGACCCGATGCCCCAGCAGCCAGGCGGCGGCGCAACGTGGCCTGGCACGCCGCTTCCTGCCCGCCGGCCGGAGCGGAGCCGGCCGCATGGCGCAAGGCCGAGCGCGGGCCCCGCCTGGGAGCAGCTCCCAGGCCTGCTGGTGCTGCCCACGGCGGTGCCAGCCGTGAAGGGGCGGCGCGGCCGCCGCTGGAGATACAGTTCGAGATCTGCGTCGCCGAGCCCGCCGTGAAGCTCGGGCGACCAGCGGAGCCGAGGGCGAGCCTGCGGTCATGCGCCCAGCCCTTCCGATCGAGGCGCACGCCGCTGCGGAGCGGGGCCACGCCGTACGTGCCCTTCCGCCAGCTGAGCTGCGAGGAGACCGCCGAGGAGGTGCTCGCGGCTTTGGATTTCTGGCCCCCGGCTCCCGTTGACAGGGCAGAGCCTGGCCCTCCCCGTGACGGGGCTTGGAAGGCAGACGTGGTGCAGGAGGGAGACGGCGCAGCTGCCCTCCAGGTGCCGTGTCGTGCCGAGAGGCCCCAGGTGGGCGGTGCTGCAGGCGCTGGAGCGCTGCCGCCGCCGCTGGAGCACCTGGGAGGCCCAACTCGAGAGCAGGGCGACAGCAGGCACGGCGAGGGCGAGAGCGCCGAGGGGAGCCAGGACAGCACGGTGTGCTCCGCGACCCTCTCTGCCACCACCGCCGAGCGCAACGATGCTGTCACGCAGTACCTGCTAGACAACTATGCTGCGCTCCTCCGAGGGGGAATCGGAAGCGTCGAGCGCGATGAGGACGTCGAAGGCTCCGTGGGCGGCGATTGCAGTTCCTACGTCTCCTCCGTGTCAGGGGTCTTCAGGGACTACGGGCCTGTCCACGGCCAGTACCTCATCGACGAGTTCTCCGACGGCAGCGAGCGCGCGGCCGAGTACGACCTCGAACGTGTCGCATGGCTAGCCCAGGGCTCGCCGAGCTTCGCCGAGCAGTGCGCTCGGCTGGAGCGCAGCAGCCACTTCGGAGATGAGTTCGAGTGA